ATCACGTTTAAGTACCTATTTTTTTAAGGCATAAAAATACAACCTTACTAAATATAATAAACTTTTTTGAGTAAGTACCTACGAGTACATTGACTTTTTCTTTTTCTTAGCTTGGCTCTTTTCTTTTTCTTGACTGCCAATCAGTTAAAAACTGATTATTGCAAAACTTAACAAAAAATAAATCACAATTGCAACCCAACAGTGACAATAGCTTACAAGTTTTAATTACCTACTTTAAACTATTACAATGATATCGGTACATCTCGTCGTCACTTAAATGTCAAACATATTGCATTTAAACAGCCTTACGATTTCATAACTCAATGAATGCAATAGGTATATCTAGCAATTAATAAACAAACTACTGGTAATTATTTTTGGTCTAGGAACCACAGATAACCATTTACTAGTCAGAGACTAGGAACCAACTCTAATATTGACGGCATTCTTCACAGATAATAAAACTAAATATCAATCCTAAAAGTGCCTTGTAGTCATAGAGATATAAGTATAGAGAGAACACGGGCTACAGCTGCCTGTAAGTGGAAGCAATACAGGCAACGAGAAAGATGGATGCCCGATATGGCTATCGTTTAGTGAGCATGGTTTTGATCGTAGAACCGGCGGGAGGTTAAAGATTTCCCCAGCCAACCACAGAGCTCGACTTAAAATAGATAAAGGGAACTATCTATTATCCATCTCTCTCGTTGCCTAAATTGCAAGATTGGGACTCTTGTTCACTCTATGCTTGTAGTAGTGAATGAATGATCAATGTAGCGACAGCAATGTATGTTTCACTTACAACTTATACTAATTGAAGTTTCATCAAGACATTACCACACCCAAGACATACCCAGCTATGCGACTGTGGCCAGAAAACCAACGGACACCATACGTGACGTGAATACTTGGGTAGAAGTAAGAAAGAACAAGAGGAATAACCCTGTAAGAAGAGGGGGTAATGCGGCATCTGATCTACTAAAAGCAGTTGAACGCAAAAAGTTTTTACATGTTTGGAGACTTGAGAAAACCACATCGGAAGATACTTTAAAGAAGTACATACAAAATGTTCTGCAAAGTGAGTCAGAAATAATTATTGAAAAATTAAAACCTAGAACTGAGCGAGACTATGCCTCGTTTAAGATTGGGGTTACAGAAGGTAACTACAAGAAGCTATGCGATCCGGAGGTATGGCCTGTAAATGTCGAATTTAGTGAATGGATTTTTTTTCGCCGAGCAACAATACCAATCCAACAGCAAACTTAGTAGGAAATCTGAAATACTATACCAGAATGTGAGGGGACTAAGAACAAAAACTACGCGATTCCTATCGCTGGTTCAATCATCCAAGGCCGATATATTCGCTATCACGGAGACCGGGTTAAGCGAATCTATACAGGACGCGGAATTCGGGCTTCCCGGCTACCAAATACTGAGATGTGACCGAGCAGACGGCCGAAAGCAGGGTGGTGTGCTTTTAATGGCTTCTCCGCGATATGAGTTGCGTCGAGTGGCGATCCCAGACAGTACGGACATTGACAATCGCAGGTTTGAGTTAATCTGTGCCGCGGTTTATATACGTGGTCGCTTTTTATTCACATGCTGTGTTGTTTACATTCCACCAAGTACAGCTGATGATGAATATATGGTTATGTTTACCGTACTAGAAAAAATGTGTCTAAAATTTAAAAACAACTTTGTTATATTAGGTGATTTTAATTTATATTCATGTAGTAAACACGTTTGCAATTATTTTGAATATTTTGTGGCCTTCTGTGAATTTATTCAGTACAACACGGTACCCAATTGTAACAGTAGGCAGCTAGATCTCGTGTTGAGCGCGCGAAGTGGTGTGCGAGTGTCCGAGGCGGACGAGGGCCTGCAGCCCGTAGACCTCCATCACCCACCGCTAGCGGTCAGCCTCGAGCTAGCGGGGGCGCCGCCCCCCACTTCACCCGCGGCTCCCCAAACACAATCTGACTCAGCGGCACGTAAACAATGGAATTTTAATAAGGCTGACTTCAGTTGTTTATACTATTTGTTAGCGACTATGGATTGGAGTGAAATGTATAAGTTGAGTGATCCCGAAATGATTTTAGATATATTCTATCATAATATATACGATGCATTTGATATTTGTATTCCTCGTAAACAAATCAGTGCAGTTGGGAGTAGGTATACATATCCGGTATGGTATACGCCGGACCTGATTAGGGAAATAAAATGTAAACACAAATTACATAAAAAATACAAAGCGAGTAAATTGCGTAGTGACTATGACGTTTTCAGTAGGTCTAGGGCAAAAGTAAAGGCGGATATTGTACGAGTGCATGATCGATATTGTGAACGTGTACAAAGTCATTTAGCTACCGATCCGCGAGCGTTTTGGGACTACATGCGGTCTAAAAGGAGCAACGCTGGTAAACACCGATTAATGAAGGGTGGTTGCACGTTATCTGAGGACCAATGTGCAAATGAATTTGCACGATTTTTCCATTCCGTATACAAACATGAGCCTCCCAAGCTGAACGCGGCGACGGCGAGCGCGGCGGGGGCCTATCTTCCAGGTGCGCGTATTTCCCTTACTCGCATACGCGAGCGGGATGTCCTGGCCGCGCTGGCCCGTCTGCCGCCTAAGCGCTCCATGGGACCTGACGGTATACCAGCTTTCGTTTTTAGGGACTGTCGCATGGTATTAGCTGCACCGTTATTGTTTTTATTTAATGCATGTATTGATACCGCAACATTTCCGGCGCGCTGGAAACTTACACGAGTCGTGCCTGTTCAGAAAGGCAGTGGAGGCCCGGAGCCCAGTAATTACAGACCTGTTGCTGTTCTTAGTACTCCAGCTAAAGTGTTGGAATCCATCATTCACGAAGGTCTCTATAGACAGGTAGGTTCCCAGTTGTCTGACGCGCAGCACGGCTTTCGTGCTGGGCGTGGGACAGCAGGAAATTTGCTTCACTTGATGTCGTGTTTGGTGCCTGCAGTGGACGCTGGCCAGCAGGTGGATGTCGCCTACTTTGACTTCAGGAAGGCGTTTGATATGGTTGATAATGACATTCTTTTGACCCAAATGGCAGCCGTAGGTTTTACACCACATGTGCTAGCGTTCTTCTCAAGCTACCTACGGGATAGACGTCAGTATGTTGACTGTGGGGGGTGTTTTTCTGAACCGTACTTTACGAGATCTGGTGTAAGTCAGGGCAGTACCCTGGGTCCGTTTCTCTTCATTTTAATGATTAACAGCCTGCCGGAAGTGGTTGGTAACTCGATACCATTGCTATTTGCGGACGACCTGAAGTTGGTTCGAGTGATTAGTCACAGTGCGGATCACGACTTGCTGCAACAAGATATAGATAGGGTGGTAGCGTGGAGCTTAGAAAATAAACTATATTTTAATGTATCTAAGTGTTCCGTGTTGTCGTTCAGCCGAGCGCGTAACCCTGGACACTACCAGTACCACATGCAGGGATCGCCTCTCCAGCGGATTAACGAGGTCAGGGATTTGGGCGTTCGTTTCAGCCCAGATTTAAATTTTGGTAAGCACATTCAGGATGTTTGTAAAAAAGCTTATCGTAATCTCGGGTTTCTTCTAAGGAACGCAAATGAATTTACGAACATCGCAGCACTGAGAGCCTTGTACGAGGCATTAGTTAAAAGTCATCTGGAATGTAATTCTTCTATCTGGTCTCCCCATCAAATCAAATATAAAGTAATGTTGGAACGCATACAAAATAAATTTATTAGGTTTTTATATTTGAAGGTATTCGGTGTGTACCCAGGGTATCCATTGTTGTATCCCACACTGTTTGTTTTGGGCATGGTGGGATATTACAGGCTGGAAGTGAGGAGAGAAGTAGCTTTAGCCACGTACGTATTTAAAGTGTTACGTGGATTGATACAAAACCCAGCTATCCTACAGGAGATCTCACTTTGTGTGCCTAACGATTACGTGACACGGCGGAGGTGCCCGCGCTTGCTTGCGGTACCGCCCGCGCGCACCAATCTGCTGCATTGGGCGCCGTTTACGCGCGCGCTGCGTGCGCTAAATGCGGTGTCGGAACTGTCGGATCATTTTGACGTTTTTTCGTGTTCGCTCAATGAGTTCACAAAGGCCATATATTGCGTACTGAGTAGTTCTAGTTCTTAATTATTATTATTTTTTTACGTATTTTTCATAGATTTGTTTGTTTTTTTTTTGTAAGTCTTGCATTATTGTATTGGTCTAGCTGTAATAATAATGTATAGTATGGTGTAAATAAATAAATAAATAAAATAAAATAAGATACCTATGCCTAACTATATGAAAGGAGACATTAGAACATACGTTATGAGTTGACCTTCCCCCATCGCTATCATCATGAAAATATCATTACTATACATATAGCTACGGCAAAGATGAGCCAGACTCGACCGGACTGATACCACGGGCTGACAGAAAACCAGTCTTGAGCAGTTCTTTTGTTGCTTTTCACCGACTGAGTGAGGTTACAGGAGCCCAAACCTGCTCTCTCCCTCTGCTTCAGTGGGGAGGGACTGAAAGGGCAGCAACGCACTTGTAACCCTTTAATTGCAGGTGTCCACTTATCGTCAAGTGACCTATCTGCTCGCTTACCCAACTACACTATAAACAAAATAGTCATGTCCTCAAATAATCACGAAGCCAATGTTCAAAAGATAAATACTAATTTTTTTTATTTTCCTTTATGAATAATAGGATTTTTTATCCGTGATCGTACAATTTTCAAAGCTAATTAACCAATCATTGTCTCGCTTGTCTTGTCTGTAGTTGGCGCGAAAATAGAAAACATAATTTGGTAAATAAGTGATTTGAATTTGTGGCAAACTATTTAAGTTTTTTTTGATTCATTATATTCTAAACAATTTTTAAAAAGTTGTCATTCCCAGATTGTTGAATTTAATTCTAACTACATTTAAAACACAATGTAAATTGTTCCAAATTTTATTGCTAACATTTGTTTGTCACAAATATTTCATCATAAATTTACACAAAAATCCCACATATCAGGTTTCACAGTCCATGTTTTAAAGAAATTACACTTAAGGGCTCTCCATCTGTCTCTATATCTTGTAGATTTACTTTTCATTAAATTATAAGGAATACTGTCAACATTTTCTTGATCACACAACACTCTTTTTAAATCTGGATCACTTTTCACAATATTTAAAAATGTTCTATAAATGTTATATTTACTTATACATAAACTGCTGCTAGGTAAATTAGCTCTTTTCTTAGTGACTCCTAATTTCTTCCCAAGCACTGCTACTTCCAGTAACCTGAAAAAAGGTAGATACAGTTACCAGCATTCTTATTAGGATAAAAATATATAAATGTTTTTTTAAACATTAAAATCACACAAAATCATTAAAAAAGAAATACATGAGTACATTATTACTAATACACACAGTATAATATAATATTTTACTGTCTATTAAGGTAATTGTTCACTCTTTTTACTTCTGTGTCATTACCTGCAACATAATAAGCTTAAAAAAAACAAAATAATCTTTGAAAATCAATCATATATTTAAAATCTTGACATTATGTCATGTGATTGATTTAAGTAATTGAGTATTTCAGAACAATTACCACCAGTGAACTTAATCTTATTATGATCTGCAGGAGGTGAATGATGCAGAAAACTAAGAATTAAAAAGAATGAATATTTATCTAATCACTAAATAATGAATGTGAATGAGACTAAACATTATTATTTATTTTTTATTTTCTTACAATGTCTTTACAGAATTATTCTAATTCGATTTTGTGGTTACATTAATTCTAAATTAATATTTTTTTTTTTTTTTTTACAGCACAATGGCAACCCGAAAAATAAGATTCCCAGCTTTACTTACTGATTCCCAGATTTGACCCACACTATGCTTCCAGGTGCGGCTCTAATATGTTCAATGTCTCTAATATTTGGGAACACTAAAGAGGTTTGATAGAACTCTGGTACTACACCCAATTGTATTGTTACCTCCATGTTTCTATTCAAGAGTGCTCTGTTTAAAGATTCTTGAGAATATGGAACTCCAGCACCAAATATAAAATATTTAATAAAAATTGAACCACAAAAGATGTCTATGAGACTGCCTTGCACTCCCAGGTGTATCCATTTGGCTATTTTGTCACTGCATGAAACAGACAAGGTTCTATCTCCCCTACCAGGCTTAGTTCGCACTTGACCTAGAAGGTGGTAATTACTTCCAGGTTCCCTAGAGTCCTGCTCACAATGAGTTAAACATTTAGCTCCTGTTCTGTGAATGTCATTTAGCTTTCTTCTTTTAATTTCACTTTCATTTAAATCATCATCTGCTTTGTGCTTTAGTTGTGTTAAAATATCACCATAGAATTCTTCTTCACCATTCTTAGGTATAATAGAAGCATCACCACAAGGCAACTGTGATGTATAAAAAATAAATTCTAAATTGTCATTTAATTTCCATTGTTCTAATTCTTTAACAAATATTGAAGTCTCACCTTTATTAGCTTTATAGATGTTTTCATACAAGTATAATAGAAAGGCTCTACGAGCAATTACTTCTGCGTGACTGTCATTTAATACATCACCTGATGAAGACATTTTTGATGCACCAATGCATTTCGAACCAGTTCCTAATGAGACCACTTCAACATCATTCGTAGATCTATCGTATTTTAAGAAACATGATATCACAGTCCATTCTTTTTCAACAGGTTTTCCTGTTTTAGGCAGTTTATTATATAAATCGAAACAGTTTTGAACAACTTTATCCACAAAATCACTGTTTAAAGAATACATTTTGTTCTAATAATAACCTCTAGGATATAAATTAAGAAATGTTACAAAAAGTTTATTTTCATATCTGTAAGTTTGAAAATAAGATCTAACTATATATATATATTTGATTTTTAAAGTAAAAGTATTATGTCAAACTGAGCAATGTAAACAAATTATTTTGACAGCATGCATTCAGTTTGACATATGGTGATTCACTCCACTTTACGCAACTGAATATTAAAAAAAAGACTTGTCACAGTATAGTCTAAAAATTTATAAAAAATAATCTCTATATATTTATTGCTCTATATTGTTACAAGCTTCAGTCATATTTAACATACATATAGATGTTAGTTAAAAATTGCATAAGCTAAACTAAACTAAAATCAGTTTTATGAACAGTATTACTATTGTGTGTGTCGACGTTTGTCCTCTAAGTACAAAAGTGCTGGAACTACTGTGCTTAGGAAGTATTAAAAAAGAATTTTATCATTTTTATGAAATCTATAAGGATTCATAGAGTAGTAATTGCAAACTTACAATTGCTAATACTGCAAAATTATTATTTTTGACGTGAAACTTCTCTAGCACCGTTGTGATTTGAAAATTCGATGAAACGAAAAAGCGCCAGTAAGAAGAAACAAACATATTCACAAAAAAGATTTAGCCTGCGAGAGAATAAGACAAATTACAAGTATACAGTGTTTTCTGTTATCTTCTACTCCTCTTTGCGCCTGCGTACAACGAAACCTTCAGAAAATGTGTCAAAAACAACGTGATGTATAATTCACGTGTTTTATTTTTTACATTGGCGCATTAAAATTCGTAGGTTATTAATTTATGTTAATTATTTAAAACATAGCACCGTGGTATACTAGGCCAAAACCTCCTTTCTAAGGAGAGGCTTATGTCCAGCAGTGGACTGTTAAAGGTTGTTGATGATGATGATTTAAAACATCTGTGTCAATTTGAATAATAATTTTTGTTTATATAAATTTTCTAAAATTTAATTTATTAACATTAGTAAATTATTTGTAATGATTTTACACACAATATTATTTGTGCGTATATTGAGTATTTTTTTATATAATTATAAAATATTTTGACAGTATCAATATTTTTATCTTATTATATAATAAAATATTTTTTTCTAAAGTTTAACGGCTGCCGTGTGTGAATTGTATCCGGTCCGGTCCAGTCCGGTCTGTGTTTGATTTATGAAATACAGGTAGGTACCTAGATTATACTCGTAGATGTAAAACAATCGATTTAAAACGTACCTATTAAATAAAATGTTACAAACCCCATGTTAAAAACCCCAAATAAATCGTTTTAAACGGTTGAAAACTTACTTACAAAAAAAAACTGTATTTTACACTTCATTGTGGGCAAGATTTGGTCACCTGTCGTCATGTTTCGTTTTAATTAGTTTATAGAAAACCAATAGAAAGTACCTACCTTCATTACCTACTACACGAAAACATCAGTATGTTCTTACCTACCTATACTTATACTTACCTACCTATACTTATTTTTATTTTATATTATATTACACACACTAGATTAGAAGACATCATTACCACAAAACAGTCGGTTTTACGAAAGATATAACGTTATGTGTTTAAGGCCGTCGCGCCGATACCGACGATGTCAACGAGATTACGAGAATGTGCGTTTGGTTTTAAACCGAATTAAATTGATTATTTATTTCGTTTGAGACCGCGTCTCGGCAAACGTAGTATAGGACGCCCACAGGCCTGGTGGAGTGACGATTTGCGCAAGATGGCTGGCAGGAGCTGGATGCGAGAAGCCCAAAATCGATATAAGTGGCGTGCAATGGGAGAGGCCTATGTCCAGCAGTGGACTGCGATAGGCTGATGATGATATCGTTTGAAAACAATTAAAAAATGTTTTTTAACAACACAGAGTTTTTATAACGTACGTACGTAATACCTACGCTTGGTCGGACGGACCAACTGAACTCAACTAAACCCGCTAAGTATATCAATATAACACACATTTAAAAAATCTATACACAGTTTATAGGTATTCCGTCATATCCCTACCTTGGTCAAATCAAGAAAATGTAGATATATGTAAGAAAAACAAAGTTATCAACACCAACCGTTTTAAATCGAAAAAATGGTTCATTTCGGTCTTAAACCATTTTTTTTGTTGGATTGGTTTAATTGGTTTTAATCAATAACCTAGATACACTTGTAATGGTGTTGGAATATTTATAATAATAACACTTATAAATAAATAAAATTAAAATAAGTTACGAAAATTATTACAATATTATATTATCTATAAGTTTCTCCATGTAAGGGCGTAGCTATTTGTGTCATATAGTTCCTTATCACCTGCTTTTACTCATTGTAATATATAGAATCGTAACTATAATTATCAACAAACAATAACAAATATTAACCCACAATAGAGTAAATTATGTTAAAATGACATTTCGAAATCCACTACTTTGAGATTTGACACAAGGCTAGCTACGTTCGGATTCACATCGCATCGATACTATTCTTTTGTTTCGTCTTACTTTAGCTCTATTTGACTTGTTGTGCAGGGTTAAACGATGTGTTAACTTTAATCGATTATTTTTGCCTGTCTGTACATATTTGAGTGGGTCAAGACTGGCGGGTGGTGTAGATATGACAATGTTCTGAGGTACGCGCTAACATAGTTCTTGTATTGTCTAAATACATTAATAATTTATATCTTATACATATTATATTATTCTGTATTTATTTATAAAAAGTTTGACATCGTATTGTTGTCATCCGATATTATTGGTTATATAACTTTACATATTTTTTTTATTTTATTTATACTTATTTTTATTTCATGCTGTCTGATGATGAATCGTTTCATTCTGCAAACGAATCTGCTACTGTTTCGGGTGACGAGAGTTTTAGCTCCTTATCAGATACACTTGGCGACTTTGTGAGACAGACGTTTGGTCGCCCTTCTAAATGTCGCTTAAACGTTTGTCATATTAATGCTCAAAGCATTCCCAGCCACTACAGTGACTTACTTGAAGCTTTCACCAACTCCGAAGCACATGCTATACTGATTTCTGAGTCCTGGTCCTAACCCAACCTGCTTTCTACGTCGTACTCCCTCCCTGGTTTCATTCTCATACGCAACGACAGAGTCGACAGAAGAGGAGGTGGTGTTGCTATTTATCTCCGCTGCTCAATCTCATACAAAATCTTAACGTCTTCCCTTCCCTCCAGTTCTGCATCCGCAGAATACCTTTTCCTTGAGGTTAGCATCAGTGGAGCCAAAACTCTTCTGGGCGTTGTTTACTGTCCCCCCAACGTTGACTACTTCTTTAGTCTCGAACCGATTCTGGAATCTTTAGGGTCCGAGTATGCACACCATATCATCATGGGCGATTTCAATACCGATCTCCTCGCTTCCAATTCCCCTCGATCCCGTAAACTCCTCCAGGTCATCGAATCATCTTGTCTGCATGTGCTGCCATTGTCAGCCACACATCACAATATTAATGGACCTGACACCTGGCTAGACCTAATCCTAACTTCCACTCCGTCCTTTGTCCGTAGTCATGGCCAACACCCCGCTCCCGGTTTTTCCCAACATGACCTCATCTACCTCTCCTATGCCCTGAAACCTCCTAAGCACCGCCCTCAGTTTCGCCATATTCGCTGCTTCGGACGGATGAGTGAAGACAAACTACGCAGCGATGCCTTAAAACTAGATTGGAAGCCCCTAATCGAGGCGTCTACAGTGGACGACAAGGTTCGCATTTTTAATAATTTAGTAATTGACCTCTATGACCAAAACGCTCCAGTCGCAAAAATTAAAATTAAACGCTCTCCTGCTCCCTGGATGTCAGTGGATGTCCGTGAGGCAATGAGACGCAGAGACAAAGCGTTCCTAAAATTCCGGAAAAACAGGAGCGAAGCAAACTGGTCTCTTTATAAAGTTGCAAGAAATCGGTGTAATCAGGTGGTGCGCAATGCTAAACGCTGCCATATTATTCAAAACCTTAATTACTCCTCGCCTTCCCAAATCTGGCGATTCCTCGGTACCTTGGGCATCGGTAAATCCGGGAAAAACATCTCTTCAACGACCTTTGATTTGGATGACATTAACCGACATTTCACCACTCTTCCGCAATTTGATCACCAAACAAAGTGTCTCACCTTAAAGTACCTGGCTGACCTTCCTCGCCCAAATATTAATTCCTTTCAATTTTCTCCAGTTGCATCAGATGACATAAAAAAGATAATCCTCTCCATTAAGTCCAACGCCAAGGGAAGTGACAACATAAACCGTCGTATGATCACACCTATCCTCGAACATCTCCTTCCCGCGCTTACGCATATAGTGAATTATTCACTCGATTCAGGGACTTTCCCTTCACTGTGGTGCAGTGCTTTTGTAATACCCCTCCCTAAGGTCTCTAACCCTACCCTTATAAATCACTTACGCCCAATTTCCATACTTCCCTTCTTATCCAAAGTGCTCGAGACGTGTGTACATCAACAGTTATCACAATTTATCCATCGGAATAATTTACTAAGCCCTTTTCAATCGGGCTTTAGGCCTGGCCATAGCACAACTTCTGCACTCCTGAAAGTGACCGATGACATTCGGGCAGGAATTGAGAACTCCAAAGTTACCGTGTTGGCTTTGATTGATTTCTCAAATGCTTTTAACACCGTTAGTCACAATGTCCTTCTATCTATCCTTTCCTATCATATGATGTCATCTGATGTACTGGAATGGTTCTCTTCATATCTTCGAGGGCGCCAGCAAGCCGTCCGTATCGACGAATCCACCTCCATATGGTGTGATCTTGACTCTGGTGTCCCCCAAGGCGGCATTCTCTCTCCACTATTATTTTCTATTTTTATCAATCTCATCACTCAGAATCTTCAATGTGCGTACCATCTTTATGCTGATGACTTGCAACTTTACTATAATGCTGCTGCAGATAATATAACGGAGGCTATTGCCATGATAAACGGCGACCTGGA